TTAGGACCAAGTGTTCTTCCTGTTTCCGGATCGATAACTTTCGCATAAAGGCCCGTTTTAAGACCACCCACACTGCCCGGCTTGCAGGCAATGTCGGTTTGAACCAACAAACTTAGAGTCGACTCGCTCAGTCCATATCCCTGTCGAATAACGGGTATGCCAATGCTAGGGAGGATAAAAAAAAAATTATGTATGTATATACATACATATGTACTCGCTATGGTCCCTCTAGGAAAGAGAAACATTCCGCAATGTATGCTTTACAGTTTCCAAATAAGCATGGAAACATTCCCTTTTGTTGGACATTTAATTTCGTTTTTAACATCCGATGTCCTTGGTGGGAAACTTTACTCCTCGTTGCAGGGGTAAACTTTCCTCCTACATGTCCATGGAATGCATGGGGAAAATATTCTTCAGTGAACTTCCTCAAGCTTTGCTTAAGAAGGGGAGTCGAAACAATGTTTTCACATTGTTTACATAAGCAACGAAGAGAAATGTTTCTAAATTAATGCCAAATGGAAACTTTCATATTTTCCTAGAGGGAAATTATACATTTGGAAATTTCAAACAAACCGCTTTTTTATCTGATCCTCGGTTTCCTTGCTAAGTGGTGCCGCGCCACAAACCAAAATCATCAACGATGATAGATCGTATTTATCCACAAGTGGGTGCTTTGCTAAGAAGACCATTAATGGCGGCACCATGAATGCCATCAATATGCGATATTTCTAAACAAAAATTTGTAAAAATATTACTTGTATATGTATGTATTGCCCTGCATTTGGAACACATTATTCACCTCAATTGCTCCGAGAAAAAGATTTTCCTCAAATTTCGGCAGATACACTAGAGTTGCTCTCAAAACCGATGTTGTAATTAGTGTAAGACAACCAAATGCGTGAAACCAAGGAATCACTGTTAGTAATGTGGTCTCGCCCATAGGAATAGCGGTTGACTCACTGCATTTTAATAGCAAACAATTACGAGCAATTACTAAACCTATTTTCTGAAAGACTGTCACAACTCGAAAAAAATGGTTTTTCAAGAGACGCGTTTAATATATATATATATAATATATAGCTCAGATATTTTTTTTTTAGAGTTGTGATATTCTTTTACTAAATCTGTGATATGTAATATAGCAAACTATAATGTGTATACTTACAACTGTGCATCAAGTGTGGTAAGAATGTTGTACTGTGTTAGTTGCACGCCTTTTGGGAGACCAGTAGTACCCGAAGAACATACTATCAGCGCAACATCATCCTCTTTGTTTGCGACAGGCGTTTCAAAGTACTCGTCTGATATAATTTCCTTGCTGTTCATAAGGTCATCGAAATTTAAAATTTTATCATCTGAACTACGAGTACCAAATGTAATAACTGTTTTTACGAAGCTGTTCTTTTTTGCCACCTTTGCTATGAGATCTGCCGTTAAATTTGAAACAAATATAACCTTTGGCTTAGATAGATTGATGGCGTGATGTACTTCACCTGCGTTAAAAAAAAAAAATAAGTTTTGTATTTATTTATGCATGTCTTTAGAGTGCACATAAATATTCATACGTGGGAACCATAATTTATTAAACTTACGATCCGTGTAGGTTACGTTTAAGGGCGCCACTGTAGCATTCACCGCGAATGAAGCAAATAAGGTAATGGCAAAACGAACGTTATTTTCACTCGATAATCCCACAACATCTCCATTTTTTACGCCCAAATGTTCTAACACATAGGCCATACGAACAATAGAGTCATACATATATTTAGCTGTATACTCCTGGCCAGTAACTGCATCAATTATAACCGTTTGATTACCAAAACTCTTATATTTCTCGAGCACAAAATGGCCTAAAGATTTGCACGAATGTGTTTCAGTGCAGGTAATTGGTCCTCCGTAGACGATATTTCCAGCAAGCAAAGTAGCCATAATGTAAGTCTTCAAATAAAAATATAAAGATATTTTATAGACGTTCATACATATATACATACATATTTTTAACCCATGGCTCAATAATTATTATAATCGGGCATGTGCTGCAAAACGTACGATTTGAAATCGGTGCGATTTCCAAAGTTTAATTTGGAGAATTCTTAACAAAACGGAAAAAATTTGCTTCTAAATCGAATAATATGACGTCCTTTTGGAGTTTCTATCAGTTTTTGTTTGAAATATTTATTACTTGCATTAATTATAAAGAAAATATTTTGCAAATCGCATCGATTTGAAATCGTACGATTTGCAGCACATGCCCGTATTACTTTATTATTGAATCATGTTTTTAACCGACCTCAAAAAAATCAGAAGGTTATCAATTCGTCCAAATATATTTTTTTATGTATGCTACTGGATAACTTTGACAGCGTTAACCGATTTATATAACTATTTTCTTAAAGGAAAATGGGCATCCAAGAGGTGGTCCCATACTAATACTATTTTTTTTAAGCAAAAGATTTCATCAGTCCAGTCAAAGATGTCGAATATGATGAATCTGAAAATTAATGTATAATCCCCAAAATGGGGTTGACGAAACTAGGTTTCAGAACGGAAGTGATCAAAATTATACTTATGCTAATTGCTTATTGGAGGGCGTTATGCGCAAGCCGAATTCAAGTTTTTTGCATACATTGGAAATTTTAAATTCGAAATTTGTTGATACGCTAACCACACAGTCTAATTTTTTGCAAAATCTGATGAGAAATTTAAAATTAAATTTTCACGAATTTCATCACGAATTTCATGTGAACAAATATATTCCCAAAAATTATAAAGCAAAACAAAAATAATTTTTCCCAATTTGTTTTTGTTTTGCATGTTAAGTTATGAGAACAATTTATTCACATGGAATTGGCGATTATAAAAAGATTTATTTGAAAAGAGCTTTCTTTAGAATTTGATTTTTAAATCTCAAGATTGCATTCAAAATAAAAAATGAAAAAATAACAACATAATGCTCTCGTGATTTTTATTATAAAATAAAACGAACAATTTCAATGAAGTCCCCTTTAACATTACACATTTTATATATTTTTAATAAAAAAATGTGCGAACCACGTAAGTAAAAAAATTACCAAGCACTGATAAAGATTTTTGATTTGAAATATTGTGAAATTGGTATAAATGTGGGAAAGAAAATACTCCGATTTATGGTTTTAATATTATCAAAGTGGCAAGGCCGTTGAGAATATTCACAATTTATGAAACTTCAAAAAATTGTATTACAGTCAAGGCACATTAAACAGGTAGTATCAGTAGAGCAAAAACAACATTTGCGTGTATTTTGTTGTTGCTTCTGGTATCGAAAGTGTCATAAACTGTTCTGAATTTTTTCTTCTAAATCAAAGCGTGCCATGTGAAATACAAAAAATTATAAAAAATAAAAAATTGAAATTGGAAAAAATAAAAATTGATGCAACTTTCTTTCCTAGTAAATTTGTTTGCTTCTCGAAGCATTGATCCATCCTTTGCAAGGCCCAGTAATCAGCGGTCGTGCTGCCGAGTTGGGCGAACGTTCCAAAAGCTGCTATTCAATCGCTTGTTTTGTATGGGAAAAGGTTTCACATGCAAATGGATTTTAACAATTCGGAATTTTTGTGAGAAAAAATTAAAAATATTTGACATTTTCGAGACCAAATAATTTGAAAATAAATCAAATCAGCTGCTCTACTGATACTACCTGTTCAATG